GATATAACAAAAAAAATATTTGTTAATTAGGCTGTTTGAATTTAAAACTGTCCCCAAAAATTAAACAATTAGAGGCATATCGGTAAATCTCGGAAAGCTAGACCATTAAAAACGAGCAAGAACCTAATTTAGGTTCACCGGAACCTACTGAACCTCATTTAATTTTAATGTTTGTTTAATTTTTCCCCGCCCCCCTTTGGACAAACATAAAGAAATAACGTTAACTGTTAAACAAAGTTTTCAAATTCAAACAGCCTTTCTTAAAATATCATTACGTCAATAGATTAAATCAACTCAATTTTACTTTATTTGCAAAATATCGTATGTTTTAAAATATCGAATTCATAACCAACTTAAGTTGCTTTAAATCATCGTATTAAATAGACTTGTGTCAATCTAAGTAGATTAAATCTACAGTAGTTCTATAAATTTATCTTGACTTTATTGAGAAATTTATCAACAGATTTTTGAAAATAAATGTATGATTTATATTCATCCTTTTCAACTCCGATGCCATTTAGATAACAATAACCAACCATAGATATTCCTTTAGCATTACCCATATCTGCAGATTTTTTGTAATAAATGAATGCTTTATTTTCATCTTTTTCAACTCCAATTCCATTTCGATAACAATAACCAACCATGTATGTTCCAATAGAATCATCCATATCAGCAGATTTTTGATGATAGATGAATGCTTTATGTTCATCCTTTTCAACTCCAACGCCATTTCGATAACAATAACCAACCATATTTGTGCCACCAGTATGACCCATATTAGCAGATTTTTGAAAATAAATGAATACCTTATTTTCATCCTTTTCAACTCCAATTCCATTGTAATAACAATAAGCAACTCTGCCTATTCCTAAATCATAACCCATATCAGCAGATTTTTGATAATAAATAAATGCTTTATATTCATCCTTTTCAACTCCAATTCCATAATTATAACAATAACCAACCATATATGTTCCATCAGCATCACCCATAACAGCAGATGTTTGGTAATAAATGAATGCCCTATATTCATCCTTTTTAACGCCAATTCCCTTTTCATAATAACGACCAACCATATATGTTCCAAAAATATTACCCATATCAGCAGCTTTTTGAAAATAAAGGTATGCCTTATATTCATCCTTTTTAACACCAATTCCCTTTTCATAATAACGACCAACCATATATGTTCCAAAAATATTACCCATATCAGCAGCTTTTTGAAAATAAAGGTATGCCTTATATTCATCCTTTTCTACTCCAATTCCATTTCGATAACAATAACCAATATTAAACGTTCCATCAGCATCACCCATATCAGCAGATTTTTGATAAAAATTGAATGCTTTATGTTCATTTTTTTCAACTCCAATTCCATTTTCATAACAACTACCAACAACTGACATTCCAACTGCATTACCCATATCTTTTGATTTTTGATAATAAATGAAGGCCTTATGTTCATTCTTTTCAATCCATTTACCAAAACGATAACAATGTCCAAGGATTATTTGAGCAATAGGATTGATTTGATCATTCAAGCACCAATTAATAATATTATTTGGATTTTGATTCTTTTTGATTAGAAATTGATCAAATGTGTCAAAAATTAAATCGGGATATTTGTATAATCTTTCTTTTTCATATATATTACACATTTCTTTAACAATTTCACCAAGAAAATCCTGCGATTTATTAATATTTGTGGAACTATCATTTTTTTCTAGCTGTTCAACAATTAGATTATTAAAAAAATTTTCTGTGTCCTTTTCATCTGACATTTTTATGCAAGAAAAGGTTTTAATTATGAGATGCATAAAAAAAAATATAGCAACCATTTATTTATTTGGTTAGTTACACACTATGTACGCATTTATCATACAACATATTATAATCGCTTTTTATTTATATAGTGTGAGCTCCGAAAATTAAGTCCGAACCAGGCCGGAACCCTAACGTGATCACAAATCACATGGGTAAATTGCATAAATTGCATATATGAGTATCACTTCGTTATCACCTAAATTTCATTAATACAACTAAAAATTCCCCCCATATGTAATATTTAATAATTACGGTAATTGGTTAAAAATTACACTAAAAAATTTGTATTTATTGAATACAGTATTATAAAATTATTCATTAGTAATTGTTGCATTCTTTCATTATTACATCATGTAATAATTTAAACGCCGATATAATGATTGCAAATTGACGTAATTATTATAATATATGGGTTAGGATCTTTTTGGTCAAATCTTGATAATTTGGCTATATTCTTGAACAAATACTCTATTAGTAGTACAATTTTTGTTGCTATAATTCTTGATCATCTCAAATGTAAATAGATCAAATTGATCAAACATTGATTTTTAAATTTTAAGAAATTGTTCCCGAAACCCTATAACGGTAGAGAATGACCCATATTTTCTATATCGATATGGACAATTTTTCATTTAGCTGCGCCATAGGTTATTAAGTAGTTTTAATTAATAACTCTGCCAATTAATTATTATTAATAATTAATAATTCCATCACTAATGAAAACCAAATAATTAACTTTGTATGACCCAAGTATTTATAAGTAAAGTATTTAGATTTAATATTTAATGTTAATAATTCTTTTAAATATTTAAATACTATTATCTAATTTCAACTTGTTTTTTTGTATTATATTTTGATTATAACTATAAAGCATTCTAAATTTTTTAAGCCAATTTTTAATGCTGTTTTATAAGTTTAGTAATAGTTTTGAAGTCTGACTTAATGATAATTTAATATGTATGAGCTAAATTTTTATTCTAGAAGTATAATACAGTAATAGAGTGTTTCATATTTCAAAAATAAGCGGAAGTTTAAAAAATCTGAAAATTGTATTTTTAAATTTCAAAATCAGAAAATGAAATAAGAACATCAGGATTATAAATCAGTTACAAATAAACATACACTTAAAAAATAAACTAACTAGTAAAATATTAGTTTATTATTATTATTATATCTTAAGTTAATTCATTCTCTTTGTCTATAACCAAGACTTAAATAAGCTCATAAAAATTCGATATTCTTTTTAATAGTTTTTATCTCTTTATTCTATATTAAAAATTTTCTCTTTTACTCAATTTTAAAAAAAATTTTTTTTTATTTTCCTTACCAAGAAACGATTGTTTCTTCGCTTTTCTACGAATAGATTGATCATATCATCAACTAAACTTGTAGATATGTAATAAGCTGATTTCTATCCAATCGTATCACGTGAGGAATCGTTGATAATCAAAACTCGCTTTAGCCAACCTCTTTGTGGCAGAAACAAGATACTGTACGTAGTACGTACGCCTTAAATAATACCAAATTTGGGGGTCGGCTAAAGCGGAGTTAATTCAATATATGATCTACATATTGCATAAATCGTATTCTTGATATTTATATATAAATAATAATCTAAATGCATCAAAAAAGTAATCTTAACCCTAACTAAATCTCGCTCCGCTTTAGCCGACCCCAAATTTGGCTAATATTGTAATCAGAGAACTACGTACTCGCATAAATAATCAAGCGAATAAACTCTCATGCTTAATTGACCCTGCTGCTATATTAGTAAATTACCCGGATAATCTGGGTAAAGAATTTTCTCTACTTAAGGTGGCAACATGATTTTCCTAAATTTGACCAGTTTTGGAAAATATCTGTTTATAAAATTACTCACGTTATTGTAATGAAATACGTATCCACATCTCTTAACGAAAAATATCTCATGGATTCACTCGTCAAATCAAAGTTTTTTACAAGCAGTGCTCTAATTCTTTTTACATCCATTTTAGTCTATCAATATATAACTTTCGGTCCTTTTGCTCCATTACAATGTCAACTATTGAGAATAGGATGTCTTGATACAGAAATACATGGATATGTAGCACCAGAATTTATTGATGTAAAGAAAGCATTTATAAAAAATTTTGAAAATGGTTATGAAATTGGATCAAGTGTTGCGGTTTACTATGATGGTAATCTAGTGGTTGATTTACAAGGTGGATACGCTGATCTTGAGGCAAAGCGTAAATACGATAACAATACGCTACAACCTGTTTTTTCGTCTACTAAAGTCATGGTAAAAATAATATAATATTTTTTATTTTTATTGATTTCCTTCTTTTGTTTTTTTTTTAAAAAAAAATATATATATATATTAAAGTTCATCTTAATATGATCATTTATGTAGAGTGCAATCATGATAGCATACCTGGTAGATCGAGGATTTCTTGATTATAACAAAAAAGTATCCACATATTGGCCAGAATTTGCTCAAGGAAATAAAGAAAATGTTACCCTTTTGGATCTAGTGAATCATCGGGCTGGATTAAGTTATCTCAATACAAAAGTTACAAAATCTGATTTAGAAGATCTCGATAAATTCGCAAAAACACTTGCCTCTCAACCACATTCGTTCAACGGAGTTTCTTCTCGTGCGTATCATGCAACAACTGTTGGATGGTATTTAAATGAAATTGTTCGTAGAGTTGATCCTAAACATCGCACTATTGGAAAAATTATTTCTGATGAAATTTTAGAACAATATGATTTAGAATTTTATTTATTATTACCACCAAATTTTATATCTAGAGTCGCAAAACTTTACGAAATTTCTAAAATTAGAGGAATTTTTGATATGTTTAATGTGTTTTTTGAATGGTGGATTGGAATGATACCGAATTCTTATTTTTCAGAATTTAATGATAAAGAAAGTGTGATGTATAAAACTTTTCAACCTTCAGGTCCTTTTAAAATCTCCGATTTTTCAGATTTAGAGACTCTTACTGTAGAATGGCCAAGTGTTAATGGAATTACAAACGCAAAATCAATGGCTAAATTAGGTGCCATAATTGTAAATAATGGTCAACCTATTAATAGTGTTACTTATAAGCCCCTTATTTCAAAATCTACAATTGACCTCATGTCCACTAAATTACCAGAAACTTTTGATCATGTTCTTTATAAAAATATTACACCTGCATCCGGTGGATTTGCTTACCTTAGATATCCAGGTATTGAGGATGTAGAATTCATAGGATGGGGTGGATATGGTGGAAGTTCATTTATATGGAATCGGGAATTAGGAATCTCATTTGGTTATGCTATGAACGGTTTATTGCCTCCTAAGTATGGTAAAACGGGTGATTTGAGGTTATGGAGTGTGTTAAAAGAAGTTGTAAATGTTGCTAAGAAATTAAAAAAAGAGCAAGCTTAAGTATTCAATTTACAAGTTAACTAATTACACTGTAATATCAAAATTTTGATTTTAAAAAATAGTGTTGAGACATATCTTTTTGTGCGATATAAAAATTATCTTTTTGTCATAATTGAAAAGAGAGTTATATGGTATGAGAGTGAATATGATCCTATTGTATGTATCTATCATACTCGATAATATGTAAGTGTCAAACTTTTGTTCAGAGTATACTAGTTATCCGAAACCTTTTTGTTAAAATCCGAAAGTTTTGAGTTTCGGATTGTACTTTCCGAAACCTAAACCGAAACTTAAACTCCTGTTCGAACCTTTAATTTAGTGCTTGGATCTGTTGAAAAATTCAATGGATATCCGACTATTTCAATCTCGTGCATATTTTTTTTTTGACATATTCATTAGATCAATGTATTGATGACGATAACTATACTGATAGGTTTAAGTCTATTCTATACTGATAAGTTTAAGTAATTTGAATTAATAATTTACCGTATAAATAATTTATTGTATAAGAGTATACAGTATGTTGATTAAACTTTTACTTGTTGTCTAAAAAAAAAATTAATGAGAAATATACTGTATACTATGAAAGCTCTAAGAAAACTCTAACAGAGTTCCTTTGATGGATATTATTATCTACTTCACTTATGTTAACAACGATCAGTCTAATAAACCAAAAACAAGGGCTTTACCTGGTAATCGTACAATCGAAACTGATAGAGGTGTGAGAAATTTAATTATGACAAATGTAATTAGCAATAAGCACTTTGAATTATCATTTATTATTAAATAGATTATATTTCGGCAAAATAAATTATTTTTTACTGCATTTTTATTATTATACGAACGTATAATTATTGATAAATTTTGAAATACCGTCTAAATATATGAAGTTTTCATTTAACGACATCCATATGATAATACATTGACTAATTTATTTCCTTTATGAAAGGAAAGAATAATTGTCTTGTGTTTTATCAATCGTAATTCGTGTCATTTGTCAATTCATCAGTATCCCAAAAAAATGTGTACAAGGTTGATGCTCCAGACGATTACGGATGACTAGGGATGGGCAAAGTAATTTATTAAGTAATAATTACTTATGACTTATCCTTTAACTAATATTAAGTAATAAAATCATACTCTTTCTTATAGATCATTTTACCAAATAATTCAGGAAAGAAAAACAACAAAAATACTTAGAAGTGCTACTTAATTATACTAAAAATCTGGCCTGACAAGGCCAAAAATACTAGAACACAACTACTAAGTTTCATAAGAACTCAAAATAAAGAGAAAGCAAAGAGACAACAACAGCAAAGAGAATATTCTTCTTCCAGAGGATATTTTTGCTCAACCTCCTACTTCTTATTCTATTCAGAAGTATAACACTATCCAAATGTCTTCTACAGATGATTACAATCTTGCTAGCACTAGTAAGAATGCAGCAAAACTCCTATTCAATAACAAAAATCAAAAACCAGACTCACTTAATATCAAGAAACAAAGATTCAACCCTCTTGCTACTTCCCAAACTGCAAAAAGTGAGCAAAACAGCATACCTCCATCAAAAAAGGCTAATGTATGACATGTGACTCATAGTACTACCGTAAACAACTATATCGCAAGAAAAAATAAAACATCTAATACTATCAATAACAACAATGATACACAAATTATTATAAATAGTAATAATACTATACAAATTACTATTAATAGCAAAGAGTCTGCATAGCTACTGTTAAAACAAGCTACTAGCCTAAACTCTACTAATGAAAATCTAACTCAAGTATCTAATGCAAATACCTGATTCATTTCAACTATGGAGGAAATCTCATGCTCTGTAACTCTAACTCTTTTTATATCATATAGTCAGGCAGTACAATCTAATAGTAAGTAAAACAAGCTAATGTACATAGATAATACAGATACTTGAATAGAAATAATTAACCAGAATCTAGCAGATAAGGAATCAAACCTTTTCAATCTTTAAGACTGGATGCCAGACAAAATACTAGAAAGTCTGACTACACCAGAAGGCCTAAAAAGTTTTATCTAGCATAAACTATTAACAACATCAACACATTATGTAGTTCTCCAAGCAATTGTATTCAAATTTAAATATAGAGATACTGCATTTTTTACTATATTTATAAGAGTCAAATGCTCTAAACTAGTTCACCAAATTCAATACGAGCAACTCTTTACTCAAGTACTAAATAGATACAAAGATTAACATGAGTTAACTATTACAAATAGACCTACTAGAGACTTGATTTATACAAAACTAAGATAAAAACTTGTAATAGACTCTTTAACAAATACAGACTTCAGAGGTTAGTCACTAGGAAAAATATACAGTACAATTAGATACTGCAAAGATTTTATAAAAAACACTACACTACGTGAACTATCAGAACTAAGAGGAATCATAGGCTAAGCAATAGAAGAAATCTTACCAGAGCTTCCTGCATTACCTTAATTAATACCAAATGATATAGGTAAAAATCTCTTATTCAAATTGCCAAATACTAAGAGATTAAAAACTAGAGTAGTTGTTATATGCCTTCATGCTCTATTTAAATTTAAAACACTACCTAATAGCTACTTCAAAGTACTTTTTCCTCTTCCTAACAAACCTGAAGACTTAGACCTATTACTATAGAACCTTTTCTCAATATTAAGTTGAAAAGCACTCTGAAATCTTATCTACTATAAGAGAAAACTTCAAGATCACTATGAATTAAAAATTATTTCTTCTACTTACTTTAACCTTCCTAAACCAAAGGAACCACTTCCTTTAGCCTATCAGGAGCTTAATTCAAGAGTCTAAGTCTTTTCTCAATTGACTTAATGGAGCTGAACATACCACTTTTACAAGTAGTCAAGATGCTTAGAGAACATTACCCATTTAAACAAATCTCTAATAACTTTTTTAAACTAAAACTAAGACTTCCTACAAAGATCAAAACTAATACTATCTTTAGCTACCCAATTGAAAATGATAATAAAGCTATTAGATTCGTACAAGAAACTAGACCTTATTATCAATTCAGTCTACTACTACTTACTATAATTATGATAGCAAAACTAACTAATAAACTCTGGCTTCCTGAGGATCCTAATCTTATAGAAGACTTTAATCTTACAGTACCTATTTCCTTACCAAAACTGGTAGAAGAAATAGCAAGAATACTCTGTTAGTACTATTACTTTATCAAACTTCTTGAAACTTGGATAAAACTTGAAAACAAAACAAATAAGACAAATACAGATCAAAAAACCAAAATTCAGTTCCTAGAATCTGTAGAAGAAGTATATAATTATCTTCAAACAAAGGAAGTAGATATAATACAAGTTCTACTACCAATCACTGAACAAGCTGCAGTAACTCTAACTCTTAATACTCTACACAAATACTTCAACTTTAGTAATATTTCAGAGATCTTACTCAAACTACTTTCCTTCCCAGTACCATCTTAGGAGATTTTTAATGATACTAATAACTACTGAAGTATTATCTAATACAATTAAACAATACTCTACTTCTCTAATAATTACAACACATAATATACAAGGAATGAATGATAATATTAAATTTCAATAATAGATAGAATTCTGTAATACAAATCATTTCGATATTATCAGCATCATAGAAACAAAACTAGCATACTCAAAATTCACAAAATACTCACTCAACAACTTTTACTACCAACTTTTTACATCTAATATAACTACTGATAAAGTACAAAAATGGGAGGCCAGTATAAGTATAGCAATTGCTATTAAGAACTCTCTTCAACTATATATTTACAATATTATATCCTTTTCTGGAACTGCTATTGTAATTGACCTTTTCTTACCAAACAACAACTATTTTAGAATTATCTCTATTTACCTTCTTTCTAATAACAACTCTCTTCTGGAAACAACTCACCATAAGATACTTGACTAGACAGAATATGCAAGCAAGCATAATCTGCAATTCATAATTCTTGGTAATTTCAATTCAAACTTAGTAAGGAAAGATAGTACTACTAAATTATTCTATAATCTCCAAAAAGTAAATCTTCAAAGCATACTAAAGACTTTTGGAATTAATACACCAACTTGGAAAGGTCTTAACTCTCTAGTCAAATTGATGATATACTCATACCACAAAATATCTTGAATACTTTTTTAACTCCAAAGGTTATAGATGTAAAAGAGATAACAGAAAGTGACTACAAAGCTCTGACTCTTAAGTAGTGTATCAACTCCTTCAATACCAACAGAACAAGAAGAAAATCTAACAAATATCTAATATTCAAATATGAGGAAATAGATAATAAGAAGTGGCTAGATTTTGCCCAAAGTATAGCAAAAGAGATTAATAGCAAAAAGAAAGTACATGATCTAATTAATAGCATTACACATTTCAACAAAGCCTAGCAGATACTTAGTACTACAATAATTCAAAATAGAAAAAAAATATCTCTTGCATATTCAAAACTTCATAGTTATTTAACACTCATACTCCAATTGTATTAAAATTTTATAAAGCTCTAACTATAATAAACAAGACTCTAAGAATTATTAGAAGCAACAACTTAAGTTTGTAGACTACTGAGATCAACAAGAATATCTCACAAATTAACGAGCTAGCAGATACAAAAATCAATCTAGTCAATAATACTGACACTACTAACAATATCCTAGTAATACTACAAAATCTTGAAACATACAAGAAGGCCTTGTATATAGCTAGATGAATAGAAAACAATACTACTTTAAGAGACAAGATACAAGAGCTTATTTAAAACAGATATGATAACTTAAAGCTAGCACGACCAAAATGATAGACAGTATTTTACATAGATATATAGATTATGTATAGTTCCAAAATATAGTAATCCCAGAAGAGATCATCACAGACCCTCATCTAATTCAAATACATATTAGAAACCATTTTGAAAGCTGAACATGCCCCAACTCATACAACAACCAACTCTAAGCAGATTAGTAGGAAAAATACAAGCTAAAGAACAACATACTGCCTACATAATATAATACAATACAAAAGGATATATCACTCACAGAGCTAAAAGATTATATTGCTACAGCACCTAATAAAAAAGCAACTAGCTCACAATTAATAACTAATGAGATGCTAAAATATCTTGATGATCATACACTTAAGCATCTCCTGAATATATTTAATGCATGCCTGAAATTAGAAGATATTTCTAGTGCCTAGAAACACAATCTGATATACCCAATATCAAAAAAACTATTCTTTACAGATCAACTTAATCATACTCAGCTAATATCTTGATCAAATATACAAGAAAGATTTTCACCAAAATAATTACAACAAAACTCAGCTAGATCTGCTCATCATTTCTAATTCTCAACAGCTCTAATTTTGTTATACTACCTAGAAATTCAATAATGATCTTAATTTCACTTCTTGTACATCTAATAAAAGATATACAAGTTTACAACAAAGAGCTCTGGATACTTGCACAGGATATGAGCAAGGCCTATAACTCAGTTAATATTTCTTTGCTGAAAGAAGCACTACTAAGAATCAGAATACTACTATTATTAGTCAATCTCATCATTAATATCTTTACTCACTGCTCAAACTCAGTTATTACAAACTTAGGCAATACAGAACCATATCAAGTATATGATAATATTGATCAAGGAGAGACTATTACTCCTCTTCTCTGAAGAATTTATTATGATCTGCTTCTATCAAAAATAAAATGACTTCACCAAAGCTATATAATAGATTACTTAATTAACTTTATAGCTTCTACACGTACAACTCAAATTCTAGTACTTGTCTATATAGATGATACCTTATAGCTAGCTAATGATAAAGAAAGACTACTACAAATTCTTGAGACTGCATCTTCCTTTTACAAGCTAACAAATATTAAGGTCAACCCTACTAAATCAATTCTAGTAACTACATTCAAAGCAGAAGCTCCTTATATTACTTTCGAGGATATTCAAATAAACTCTATAAGTACAAAAAAAGCTTTCAAGTTTTTAGGTTGCTAGTTCATACTAGAAAAAAACTAGAAAATTATTCACAATCTAATTATACAAGAAGCAGACAACTCACTTCAGAAACTAAGAACTGCAAAGATTACAAACAAACAGACAATATATATAACCAATGCTGTTATTCTTACAAGGCTCTTATACAGAATCCTCAATACATTTCTTAATGCCACAACAATGAAGAAAATAACTAGCAAATATACAAATATTGCTAAATACAAAGTAGAACTAGCTTCATCTATTTCAGACTCTACACTTCACTATCATAGATTATATAGCCTTAGAACTGTAGAAGACCTGCAAGCACAACAAAATATCATACTACTTCACAACCTGATAAACTCTAATGATAACTTTAGTACTATCTTCAAAAACAGAATACAGCAACTTCAAGATGCAGTAGCCACAAATATCTCAATACTAGCTTAAGATCTATTCATCTTCATATTACCAGAAAATAGTACAACCACAGCAAAGAGAATTCATTAGCTACATAATCTAAACTGTTCCTTCACTAACAAACTGTCGAACTAGCTGCAGACATTACAGAAAACAGGACACAGTATAAAAGATAGTATTAAGCTACTCTTTAACTCTACAATTATCAAAAAATGTCTGAATAATATAAGACTATACTTTGTAGAACAAGTTCTAAATTAGAATAATACATTCTCTCTTCCCTAGTCTTTCCTGCTACATACTACTTAAAATATATTAAGAGAGAAAGAGCCCAAATAGTACAAACAACTAGTACAAGCTATAACTACTAAGAATATATGCTACAATAAGAATAGATTATTATATCCTAATTCTTTTATTATCAATTATACTCTAATAGGAAAAAATAATTGGATACTTCTTCTTATCAATGACATAACAATAATCTGCAAAGTCATTTCAGTTACCAAAAACAATATAGCAAAATTGAGTCATTGGATATGCGAGCCAAATTCAAAAGCCTTAATATCCTGCAAAGGCTGCCCACTAGCTAACACTAGTATATTATTATCACAAAACTCCTGCAAGCTCGATAAAAAAGCTATACAGACTATATAACTACAAGTTAGCAAAGCAAAGAAGCTATATTCTTATATAGAAGAAATTACCTCATATCTACTACATAAGAATATATAAATAGTAAAAGAGTAGTCTAATAACAAACCCAAAACAGTCATCATATTCTGTAACAAAAAATAAAATGATGATCTAGGCTTAATTAATACAATTATCTCAGAAACTAATATTCAAAACAAAATGATAGAAATCTACCTACAAACCAGCTATAGCAAGCATATAACTATAGTACTAAATACAAAAACTATAGCAGATATACCTACATTGATAGCCCACTCAGTCACATACTGGAGTATACTAAATACTGATATCAGTCTCACTATTAAAAATAGTATATAGCTAAACAATACTCATGCAATACTGATAGCAGTAATAACAATTATGCTAATACTGCCTAATAGCAGCAAACTAACATTAATTTTATTATCAAAACAATTAGATAACTTCTTCAAGAAAATAGCTACATATGACTACAATACAAGAAACAACTAATAAAACAAAAAGAATAGCCTCTCTGGCTGACAATATATATACTTTATTATAAAAAACAACTGGAAGTTATCATAGAGGCTCTGAACTCAGACCTTGAAATCAAAGCAAACCATCCACTAGAAGTAACTCTCAACTTTGACAAAATCAGATATGATACCTTTCATCTTCAATAGTATAATAACACAATTATACACAAGCCTAGATAGTTCATCAGATATATAAATAATACTACTCATCTAGCAAAATGACATTCCTAAAACAGAACCTGCCTATAGGGCTCACATAAAGAAAAGATTGACTAGAAATTGATAATAGAAAATATTAACTATAACTGCTCACCAACAAGTAGAAATATGAACCCCAAGTACTCTACTCTTAAAGCATTCAAAATTAAACTACTTCTTGATGAACTGCCAGTTACAACTAACCTAAAAAAAAGAAATCCACAAAAATATAAGTTTTCACTTTGCAGAAGATGTAATAATTCACTAGAAGACAATTAGCATTAGATTACTTGTCAAAAAAACACTATCTTATTAGAACAGATTATAAACAAAAGTATCTATGCAGTGCTAGATAAAGATATATACCTACAAATTACCTAAGAAATCCTAGAATCTATACTTTCAAGTAATCTATACAATACAGAAAGCACAGGAACTAGCCATATAAAAACTGTTCATAGCTTTATTCCTAAAGCTATATTGCAGTTGTTAACTCTAACCAACAGTAAACCAAAATCTAGTAAACTATTTCACAAGATCCAAAAAGAACTCTATCACAAAATCTAAACATGCAGATATCAGGAATGGCATAATCCAAATAGAACACTCCTAAAAATAGAGAACTCACAAGACAACTGAAACTACAACAAAGCTGCAGAAAACCCAAAATATATAATACCAAAATCTCAGCATATTGAGAATAAATTGATAACCTAGTCAAAAATGTTTATTAATTCTAACTCATCACCAGATATGCTTGCATATATAATAGACTAAGTGAGGCTTTGGTCTTCTCTGGTTAAAAGAGCCCAGGCTGAGAGTAAAGTAGCCCTAGTTTCTAGTTTAAAGTAGATAGATAGTATATATCCTTGTACGAATTACAATGTAATGAATATTAATATCTGAATAAAAACTGAAACAAGACCTTCCTCTTTCAAAAAAAAAAAAAAAAAAACTAATATTAAGTAATTCTTTCTTATTACTTATACATCTAATCACATGATACTTAATTGCAAAATAATGTTAAGTAATATTAAATAAGAATACATAATAAACTAGTGTGAAGCAAATAATAAATTCAGTACACAAGAACTCAATACACAAGAAACAAATACTACAGATATCGTAAACGCATTGTTTAGACAACAGCATATAAAAAACAAATTATCAAACTGGTCAAAATTGTTTATTACTTCAAACACGTCTCCAGATATACTCGCATATATAACAGACTAGTTGAGGTCTTGGTCTCCTCTGGTAAAGAGCCCAGGCCAGGAGTAAATTAGCCCTAGCTTTTAGTTACGGTTTTTGAGATTTTAGAAGAATAAAAACTATTAAAGTAGATAGACAATATGTAACCTTGTAATGAAATACAATGTAATCAATTTATTATCTAAATAAAAACTGAAGCAAGACCTTCCTCTTTTAAAAAATAATAAAAATAAAAATAATAATAATAATAAATTCAGTTGTATACAATTTTCAATTAATAACTATTTAATCCATTAATCTAATTAAAATTTCAACTTTTAATTTATTTATTCTTCAAGATTTTTCGAATGTTTTTTTTTTTTTTGAAAATTTATTTTCGCGTTTTGCGCGCATCATTAAGTCAAAAAGTATGAAATCTTGCAATTACAAGTCATCGAGCAGATAAACATGTAACAAAAGAAATAAAAATGAAACTTCTTGTTTTACATTGTAGTCAGATCAATATTTCTTGGGACAGCTTGCATTTTCTTCGTTGAACAGACTTGAATTATGTCCCGCTTCTTTTGATTCAGCTTTTTCGTATTTTTTTTTTTTTTTTTTTTTTTACATCTGTTCTATACATTCTGGGACAACTGATAAATAAATTATGGCGGTTTCGATAAGTTTTTTTTATCTGCCGATAAAAAAGTTTACCAAATCGTCATCAATTTTTATCAGTTGTCTCAGAATTTACGAGAATAACTGTAAGTAGTTGAGTGTTATCCTTTTTATATTATTAATAATGCAATGAAAATTTTTCAATTGCAATTAATATCTTAGACTTTATTAGTATTGTTTAATATATATAATATATATGTATGTATGTATAAAAAATATTACACTATTCATGAATTTAGCAAGTTATTATGGTAGACCAAAAATTAATCTCTGAATTTACAAGTTTGAACTTTTCTAATTTAAAATCAAGTATTACCATACAATTTTATTTCTGTTTTTTTTTTTTTTTTGACTATTTGGATATGTAATGACATGTCTCTAAGAAAAACAATTTCATTTCTTAATTGAAGAAGTTCAGGCAAGCCGCAAGGTAGGTCCAATTATGTCTATATAAACTTTTATAAATCTTCATTATGTTTGTAAACCATGTTTCGGAAGGATTGAAGCTTGAGTTCACAATTAATTGTAAATACTCTAAAAGGGGTCGCTTAAAGCCCCCTGTTACTATAGAGTTGGGAGAGAGTTGATACAATTTATGCAAGGGCGAATTTAGCTCCTATAGTTTATTGATATTTTTAACGGTTCCAGGAGATAAGTTTACGGATAATTTGGGTACTAGGGTAAAACTAAAGGGACGGGACGATAGAATTCGGTTGTTATGATGGGAAAAGGTAGGTTTGGATTTATTTAATGGGAATACGGTTTATACTAAAGACCTTAACTATTACTAAAAATGCTTTATATAATTTAATAACACGAGTGAGACTTTGCATCCAATTACTCAGAGATGGGTCTCTTCAGCCAACATTGCTTACTTACTTTCTATATGTTAATTAGAAGACAATTTGAATCTGGCCTTTATTGAGAGCGAAACGAAGGGATTTATATCATTGTAACTCAACTTCTTGAAAGTCATTTTACCGACAGGTCATTTCACTGACATATTAGCCCGATTTAGGGTTAGAATTAGGTTAGTGCTGGCCAATTTTTTATTTTCTGTGAAATGGCTGTCGGTTAAATGAGACATAACCCTATTTTGTACATAATTCATTTAATTTTGTAGAGGTCTCGCTACGATCTAGATTATCTTCCTAATTACAGACAAGTAAGGAAAATGATGGACGGTACATAAAAAGAAATAAAACAATAATATAAAGAAAGTTTATTTATAGGTCACCAGTGGGTCGTGACACCCCTTTCCAAACTAGGTTTAGACATCTATTTTTCCATATTTCCTTTGTGTACCAGAATTTTCGAATTTAGTTGTTCGAAATTTACCGTTACGCTCTCATATCAGTTGATGCGCATGTGGAATAAATAATGCAAACTTTAATCATCTAAAACAAGTTATGGGCGAAGGGTCAAAAATAGGATTTATATAATTAATAAAAGACATTATCTGTATTTTTTTAGGCATTTGTTTTGAAATCTCGCCTGTGTTACAAAAATAAAATCTTATTATTCGTTATTATAATCCCTTAATTAGAAAAATATATATCCATTACATTTGCTTATGATATTTTGAAATATAAAATAGAGCTTTTGATTCCTTGTTATGCACAAGACAAAATTTCATGGCGCTATTTTCAATTTCAGAATTATCAAGTCCAATCCCCCAATATGTATTGGGTTGTTTGCCAGCAGTCGTTGCAATCGCACAAACTCCTATAAGGGGTTTACGGGCGAAATTACAATGGCTAGTTCGGTGCCTAGGTTGTCCATTTGAGGGGCTTTTCTATATTTGTTGCATAAAGAACGATAAAACTTCTTTGTGCACATATTGGCTAAATAGTGAATATTTTGCTAAGGAACTAAAATCTATTCCATTTCGACCCTGCGGACTATATGCTATGAAATTTAAACCTACAGAAGCACAACTTAAATGTTTTATTGATTGCTGCTCAGAGGCACCATTGATAGAACGGCTGTCATCCTTGGCATCAGCTTACTATATATTCGTTGGCATTGCCATCGGAATTTTTAAAATTATGGCCCGTCAAAAATGTGATGATTGGCCATACATCCCCATCTCATTATCATGGACAATTCCCGTAATATATAAACGGGCGGTTTATGGACGTCTTGTGTTCAAGGACGTATCTATTGAACTGGGAAAATTGAACAATAAAATTATAAAAGTTGAACCACTCGAACCTCCTGAATTAACAAAAAAACGCTTACTTGTTGGAATTACGGGATTCTTATCAATAGTGATCCCCTGGTTTTCAGTAATTATCGCGTACCACACCCCACCAAAGGGGTTTTTATGTAGATCCAGATACTTGTCAACTCTGTGCTCAATTTGGACTTTTAATAGTCTTTTAGCTTTATTAATACATTTAAGAGGCGAAGCGAGCCTGAAAGGTCATTGGGTCGCTCATATCTGGTTTTGTTTTTGTGGTATTGTGGTGGGAATATTTTTGGTGTGTTTTTGTTTGCTTAGTGATCAAAGACTATGGTGGGTAAATTTGTTTGGAAATGACTGTGATAATTCAAGTGGATGCATTACATCTTAAATACTATACAACTTAATACTGTAAATATAACTTATATAATCTATTGTTGTTCCAATATTATTATGGATATTTCTTTTTTTATTAGCTTTTAGCATTATTATTTCATACTGTACAGTATCTACTATCAGATAGGAAGGTATAATCATTTTTCTTTATATATTGTAAATAAAATAATATTTATATGTAAAATGAACTATTTACTTTATTAGTTCAGATGTGGTATACTATTGATCCTCCCTAAACCGATATGCATAGTGAGAGGTTTATCAGTTTTGACAGGATCAATTTTGGGAGGTTCGACAGTATATAATTCTTTATGAGAGCCGGTGAAAATCCCAACAATTACATTTTTCATTTGGGTTAGCGTTAAAGACTACATAGATATTTAAAATTTTAGGATTAGTAATTAAGTGTTTAGAATATTAATGTTACCTCTTTAAAGGTTTTTTACTTGTCGGGATTTTTGTTTATACCAAAATCCAAATACTTTTATAAAAAGTACTTTATAAAGTAACTATATAGTAGTTTTGGTAGCTAAATATGTGTTATTGTTTCCAAAATATTCCGCGCGTGATACGCGGGATAAAAATGACTAATTGCTGATTTTTTAAATTTCCTATAAATTACGTACGGAATGTGTGGGGGTTAAATGTAAATGCAAATTTTGTTGTTCTGAATAGTTATTTTTATAATACAAATCACTCTCATTATAGTTAGGCCACGCAAAGTTGATTTTTCGTTTTGCATTACATAAAATCAAAAAATTATGTCGGTCGGTCGATTAGTAAATTATAGATTTTAAAAGCCTGAAGTCTGGTTTTCCCTTGGAAAAAAAAAAATAGGAATTTGGGTTGACGGGTAATGCAAAACGAAAAATCAACTTTGCGTGGCCTTATAGTGAACCACTTGTTATAGTGAAGACAGTTTATATAAAAACCCTCTCGATATAACGAATTTACTATAGTGTTGGAGGGAAAGACGGTGAGTTAGTTACTCGTTCTTTTGGGCTTTTGCATAACATTATTCGATAAAGTAGTGAGGCGGAAATGATTTGGCAAGGTAAGGCAATCGAACACGTTATACGAGGAAACAGGTACGGCAATAATGACTTTTATTTTTATGGCAAATATATAATTTTTTATTAAATTTTATTTATTTATTACATGAGTAAAGGAGGTGAAGGGTGATTTCTTTAACTTAAGGCAAAAAGGAGGATTTTTAATAATAAATTTTAAGGGAAGTACACTACAGACTCATTCCCTTTTTCTCTGCCAATATTTTCTTTTTCTTCTATTTTCATAGTCTTTTTTGAATCATCTTTTAACTCATGTTTCTTTCTTTTCATTAACTTCTTCTTTTGTAGGTTCCACTTATAGTATTGTAGTTATGTAACCCAAAAAATGTTCTCATAGTATCAAGGCTTAGCTGTGAACTTGTGATAGTGAGTTATTTCACTTTTTTCTTGTTGCACATTGTATTAATTCTGCTTTCATTTTTTTTTTTTTTTAGATTAGTTAATACTTCTTTTGTAAAGACTAGACTTAGCATTATAAGCTGATTTTTGAGACTTTTCTTGTATATAATAAGAAAAAATTAGGTTATATAATTAGCAGTTTGGGTTATGATTCAAATTACAATCTTAGTCATATTTTAGATCACATTTTCAGAGATCTTTATACAATAGTTCAAACTAGGTTTACCTCTAACAATAAATTCTCTATATCAAATATAGTAAAAAAAATCTCTTAGCTTAATTATTTTATTATAATAAAAATAACTTGTATATATATATAAATATATATTTATTTAAAATTTTATTTTTTGTAAAAATATATACAGATATTTCCTGTAATTAAATATCTGTAATAGTTAGTCTCATCAAAAAGCAAACAGATTTAACTCATCAAAAGTAATAATTCAATAAATAATCTATATAATATATTATATATAAATTTATCTAACTAACTAATTAATTAATTATATTGTATATAGTTAATATAATTTATTTTTACTTCACAATTACTAAATAAAGAGAATGTCTAAAGCATGAGCAGCTCATATTTTTTAATAATTTTTTTAATTTAACTTTAGAATTAGAATTATTTTATATTAGAGTTAGATTAGATTTTAAATAGTTATATATAAGCAAAATTGTCTTTTTAATATTTTTATTTAATTGATCTAAAGTAGATTTAGATTGCTATTCTTTGTATTTTTTATATTTTTTGTTTTGGTTTCTTACTTTGCTTTATCAAAATTCTATAATTTGATTAGCTAAGATTATATATATTTATTTACTTTTATTTAGAAATAGTCTAAAGCCAAGTTTATTAATATATTTAGTAGTTTTTTTTAAAAAAATTCTGCAGCTATACCTCAACTTTTATTTAAACAGTTTGTAAAACAAACTTTTTATATTTGAAGAAAATTTTCTAATATGTCTAACTAGTAAGTTAAGATCTATCTAGTTACTTTTTTTTTTTTTTTTTTTTTATATTAAATAATGTCATAGTCGAAACTTTATTTTAAAAGATTAGAACATAAGTTCTATGTTAAAGATTTCAAAACTACATTTGTGTTATATAAGTTTAACTTTTAGTTAAACAAGGTATCCAATATGATATTACATCCTTATTTCCTATATAAATACTATATTTAACTATTTCAAATTAAATTTTAGCTTAGAACAGGTTGGAGGAGACCTAAGGTGTTAATTATAACATTATAAAGTTGAAGTTAATAAAGAAGAGCCTTATAAGAACTATTTTTTAATTTTAAGTTTAAAGTTATTTGTTTGATTTGATATGATATTTGTAGTTGGAATTGGTAAAGTTGTTAGATAGAAAAATTTAATACATTTGGTTTTAGAAGTAATGTTTTAAGCTAGTTTCTATTTATATTGATGTTAATTCTATAGAAACCAAATATCTTAGTAGAACCAGTTTAGAAAGTCATTTGACAAGTTAATTAGAAGTGATTCAGTTTGTTTTTGAACTAAGGCTTTAATATTAATAATTGTTGTAAATATAAAAGTTCTAGAGATTACAAAAAGAATATGATTGTATTAGAGATTTGAAGAGTTTAAAGTGAAATATAAAAAAATATTTAAAAGATTTGAAGCAGTAATTGTTGTAATTTTGAGTAAAGTTAGTGAATTGTTAATAATATTAATAAGTAATTGCTGAATATTAGGGTTATTTTTCTTGAAGATAAGAATGTGTAGGGTGTTTTCAGTATTTAAACATTGTGTACAATTTGATGTAGTGTATAGATAAGGATAGCAGGACCCTGAGCAATCTATGTATAGCTAAGATTTTTAAAAAATTTTAACAAATTACTAAAAAAGTAAAAGATCTGCATAAAATAGTTAAAAATAAGCATATATATTACTAAAAATAGTAAAGATCAGCAAAAAAATAGTCAAAAATAAGCAAAATTAAATTGTTATCTATCTATATATAGCTCAGGGTCCTAGGATAGCGAATATTAAGATTTTGCATAGTGAGTAAATTATTTGTTAAAATTTTAATATGAAAGGAGTATTTTAGAAAATTGTTTTTTAAAGAATTTAAGATTTTAAATATTAGAGCCTATTTAATATCAATAATACCATCAAAGAATTTGAGTATAGACCAAGTAGAGAGTTCTTGTATTGTAATAGTATTTTTGATAAAAGTTCAGATTTTT